GTTGAGGGGATGCATTTTCAAGAAGACTTAAAGTCATCGGGCCACTAGGTCCAAGTGCTCTTGCACTTAATATTTACCCAAAAAAAAAAAAAAAGAAGCTTATCTTAAAATGGCGACTCTTGACTCCTTCCTATTGGAGTCATTGTCCTAATAGAAGTTTCTTACTTTACCATTTTAACACTAAATATGAATAATTAGATGAGAAATAACAATATTAACAATTTTAGTAAGTCGGTAATAATCTCTTTCTATTAGAATTATACTTTTTGTTAAAAGTTAGAGATCATGAGTTTGAATCAAATAACATATAGATGGAGTTGGTTAAAGAAGTGAGAGAGAGTTGTCTCTCGTTACATGACACAAAATTAAAAAAATAAAATATAACTCTTAATATTAATTATAGAGTTTATTTTATCTAATAATTTTTATTGTATAGTTCTATATACTATAAAACATATAATACTTTTTTGTTTCTAATATGTTTTTTCTTGATTTTTTTTTTTCGGTACAATAGGATACTATTTGTATGATTACCTAAATTCAAAATCTTTTAGTCTTGTTAAGAGATTAGTTAAATAATTTATAAAATTTTTCATAATCTTTTAATCTTGTTAGGGCTAATGTGATAGTTGCATTTTTAAAATTATTTAAAATTTTAATTTTAAAATTTATAAAAATTAATATAAAAACACTTAATCGTAAATCATAAATAAAAAATAAATTGGGTTAAAAAATCCCATATAAAAAATATACAATATAAAATTAGATTAAGGGCCTGTTTGGTATAGCGGTTAAAATTCAGCGGATAGCGGGTAGTGGGTAGCGGATAGCAGATAGCTATAGCGGGTAGCGGGTGGCGGTTAGCGAATAGCGGATGGCGGATAGCGGAAAGTGAGTAGCGGATGGTAAATAGCGGATTTGATAAATATAACTATTTGGTTATACAATAGTTAGTGGTTGTTGTTTAACATCAAATGACTAATAAGGACATGTTTAAAAACAAATAAGTGTATTTTTTAAAATATTTTTATTT